TTTTAATTCGTAGCCATCATTGCTATTACTAGATTTCCTCTGACTTAAGACATTATCAATTGCAAGACACATTATTATTTTATGCATTATCAAGAAAAAACAAAATGATGCCAAGTAAATATGCCATCGTTTATAATATGCATCCCAATTTCAGAGCTGTTAACGTGTAAACAACATGCGTCTTAGAATCTAATAATAATAATAATAATAATAATTACCTCATTTAAAAAAGGAAAAGAAAGAAAGAATATACTTTAAAACATCCTGCTATTTGGTGATTTAAACTCATGTGCTAGATCTCCAGCAAGCATTTCTGCTGCTTAGGTGCATATTAATATTACCACTCAGTGTAGACATCTCTCACCTAAGACAGAATAGAATTTTTTTTAGTTTCCTTAAAGGGAACTTCTGATAAATGAATCTTTCATTATAAAATCAGGATTTCCACAAGAAAAACAAAAACAAAAGCACTGTCTTCGAATGTAAGAAAATTATAATTAAAAAAGCAAGCCTCTAAAAATCACACACGCTGAAAACATACGCTTCACAGGGCACACAGCCTTTAGCGAGACCCCAGTTGAATTACTATATTAATGATAATAACATTGGCCATGTTTTTAAAATTCCCCTTTGCCCACAAAAATCTACTGGCTAAAACTGACGTGGAAAACGTCGACATGGCCCTCGCCGCACGGGGAAAGAAATCTCAGTTTACCCGGAAACCCTGAGTGTGTGTTTCCCGCCCTCGTTCCATGACAGGTGTCTTCTGGGGCTGTAGGACTTGGTTAAGTTCTCCTTTACCCTTGAACCTCCACACGGATTGAGCTACGTCTCTAAAGCTGCTTTTTATAGGTTTCGCTTTAATTCCACTGCTAGAATTTACTTTCGTCTTAACCAACTTATTAAGTAAAGAGGTAAGTACGTAGATAGTTGATTAGTTCCCTAAGACTGTAAGGTCTAATATCCAAGCCTTACTAGGAGTGGCCTGATTTCTAAAAACACACCGATCTCTGCACTAATCTGGTGACCCGGCAGACACCACCGTTTCTCTCACTGGGGAGGCAGCTCCAAGGCGTCTGAAATTTTCACTGATGACGTCATCGCCAGGTGATTAGAGACACCTGCGTTACGCACATTCCGACAGAAAATACATCCTTATGTGTATGGATACGTTTGAAACCGCCGGAAGTGCTGAGTTTAAGATGGCACGCCTTTCGAACAAATTTTGAAATTGATATTAACTCTGTAATACAGGAGAGAACCTTTTTTACAGTAACTTTTCCAGTAACTTTTCCAGTAACACCTTTTGGGCTATCTCTACTCTTATTCCAGACCCTTGTTAAAAAGATAATCTTTATAATTCACCCAAACTCTACTTTTGATGTTAGGCCCCTGGGGAATACTGGACTATGGGCTCTCTGATTCGTGTTGGTGCCTGCCTGTCTGTCTGTCTGTCTGTCTCTCCCATCTCTTCTCTCTCCCTTTTCTCTGTTTAAGAAGACTTTTCTTCCTGCTTCCGGCTCCAGATGGCAGTGACAGCCCAGCATTTCCTTAGCTCTCTCTGTTTTTCTTTCTGTACTCACATTTCATAGCCAAAGGCTTGTGTCCAGGGGGTACAGCAGAGGTCTGTGGGGATGAAGAACCCATGAGTTCCACTAGTCACTACAAGGAGAAAATCACTTCAACCACTGCCGTGGAATTCACTGTCATATTCACTTTGCAGGGCTGAGGTTACGAGGCTTCCCTTATCGCACAGG